CTCTTCTATTCGCCGCCACCTCCCAGACTCCCTTCCAATCCGAACCCTAATTACCCCCAATTAGCCCCTCGGCCCCCTCACTCTCACGATCCGCAGCACCTCCTGTACCCACTCGCCTCCTCCGGCCGAGGGTTTGTATCCAGGCCGGCTGGGGGTCCCTCCCCGAGGCCGCCGTTTGTTTACCCTTATTTTGATCCGAGTCGAGGCAACCCGGGTTTCGTCAGGCCGAACCAATTGCCTCAGGTGCTCCTCGGGTCCGGGCCGGGTTCCTCTGTCAACCCTTCAGGTACAGGGATGATGCCTGGTTTAGTTAAAGGAGTTCCTGTCTCCTCTTCACGCCATCCAAAGGTGCTTCATTTTTTCCCTCGTATGAATTATTTTGTTCTAATTCAGTGTTATCGGCGTTAAATATAGACGAAATAGTTATGGCTGGGTTGTGAGTTTTTCGTTATTGATCTAAGCAAGTATGACATATTATCTTTTGATGCATTAATTAAAAGTCATGGACTACTCGAAACTCGGATAGTTGGTGTTTCTGTTAACTGCCAGCGATAGTTTGTGTTTACCTCTACAATGTTGCAATGGTTAACTTTAAAATAAATTGTTTAAAAAGTCTTCAGTCAGTTTAATTTGCTAAAGAGCATACATTCATCGTGCTCGTTCCTTATGGTACGTTTTAGGCTGGTCCGCCTTCTACTTCAGTCTCTGATATTAATGGCCACAACAATTTAAGGTCAGACTTTTATTTCACATTTCTGTTCTTTATCAGTTTTGGGATGATTGCCCTTTTCTGATTACAATGCTGATTATGATAAAAGATTGTCAAGGTGGTTTTTTTATTTTTCTTGCAGGGATAGACATAGGGATGATACTCTTGCAGTTGTCAGAGATAGGAAGGTAATTATGGTTTCTATTATTTTTGTTTTATCTGAAGATTTGGTTAGATGACATATATATTTTGAGGAAGACTTTTTCTTGTAATTATTTTGAACTTCTATTTTGGTGTATACTTAATTTGTCATTATTATCTTTCGTCTTTTGCAGGTCCGGATTACTGAGAATGCCTCACTTTATGCCCTCTGTAGGTCATGGTTGAGGAATGGCTTTCCTGAAGAAACTCAGGCATGCTTTTGGAAACTTTGGAACCTTCATTCTTATTAGTTTTTTCTTACAAAGTTTGCTCTTGACTTTTCTTAATATGCGTATTTCATATTGATTCACGGTATCTATAGGATGCCTATGAGATGGCAATTGTTTGATTTAAGCATGTTATCCTTTTGTTCTGGCAGAGTGAATCTTTTTGTTTAGCAAGTAAATTTTCCATGGTAGATGCCTTTTTCAGTTATCCTTTGCCATATCCTTGTGCTTTTAAGTTGTTACTACAACAAGTTAAAGACGTGCGATAGTGCATTATACAAGATTTTGCATGTTTTCTCTTTTCTTTCTTTTTTTCAGATATTTCATTAGATCTGCTCAGATATTTTACAAGCTGAACCATCATGCTTTGCTGTTTGCTATGAACTCCTTATATATCTTTCTTAAATGGGTACAGGTTGATCTCACATGAGATTATAAAGAGAGTTGAAAAATAGTAAAGTTTTGTATGTTTGAGACCATTTCCTGATATTGTGTCTGGAAGTTATTGGTTTAAATTGTCCCTTCAAATGAGCAAATGTTTTTTTAAGGAAAATTCAATTTTTTAATAAATGGAGTCTAGTTTGGGACATAGGCAAACAGAAAAAGAACTATAAATTTGAGACAGGGAAGCATGAAAACTTGTTCATTCTGCATATTGAATTATGGTTTTGAATAGTGTAATATGTGCTGAACTTGGAATAGATATGCATATAAACTGTTTTAAGTTTTTTGCATGAAAGTATGCATGCATTTTTGCTGTATGTCTTGTGATAGATAATTCTTTGTAAGAATGTAAAAGTGGATATTTTGTGTATTTCATCACTGGTTGATTGAAGTCATACTTTTCCATCTAATACTCTGCTCTTCAGCTGCCACCATACCTGGATACGGTCAAATCTCTTCCCAGACCTTTGCCCGTAGCTCCACAAACTGTTGATTCACCCAATAAAGAATCAGAAAACAAAGAAGCGGAAGATGAGGTTGGTAGTTGTAAAATAAAGCTCTCTGATCCTCCTGAACCGAGTTTTGTGATACTTGACAAGTTCGAGATATTGTTATATAGTATGAACACTGTATATATGTGATAAAGCTCTGTCAGTTTCTTTTGCAACTTAACTTGTTTTCTTATGGTAGAGCAGAATAAGTACAATTGGTGTGTCATTTAATTTCAGGAAGAATGTTCTGCTGAGAATTTGTCTGAGAAGGAGCTCTTGCAGAGACATATCAAACGTGCCAAGAGGGTTCGTTCACGGTAAACGCTTCAAAACTAAATCAAGAGAACTAAGTCTTCATTATTTCAGTCATCATTTGTCTTTAGTGGTTGAATATTTATTTATTTCGATATTTGTTGGTATCATTTGCTGCAAATTTGTAGGCTAAGAGAAGAACGGTTGCAACGAATTACAAGATACAAAACCCGACTCGCGCTTCTGTTGCCTCCAATGGTCGAACAGCAATACAAGAACGAATCTGATCAAGCAAACTAAAAAAAACACCTCGTAATCTTTGCTTCCTATTGGTCGATATAATCTTATTTATGCCACCATCTATTTGCATAACAATAATACATTGTGGCACCTACAATTTGAAAATAGAATGGGTGAAATATATACAAGATTGAATATGTATGTATAAATGTTGTTGAGCCCCAGTGCTTTGCAGCACTGTAGAGAGACTATTGATGAGAGATTTTTCTTCGTGTGTCGTGAGTTCCCCTGTTTGTGTCTTGAATTTGCTGTCAATATGTTAGTGTATGTAAAACCTGATATAGTGAAAGCTTGTTCGGTGTCTAATGCTCGTTTGTTGTAGGATCGATTAAAGCAGATTTGGATTCAACGAGTTTCGGGTTAGAATCAGTATTTTTTTATTTATTTTTTTCGTTGATCTTGTTTTTGCAGCTTATTTTCTTTATATGGTTTTATATGGAAGATAAGTTAAAGTGCCAACCAAACAACCCATTATCTCATATTTCCTCCACATTTTTGCAGTCACATTAATCATTTTCAAAGATATTCAGATAATGTATTTAACTTGTATTGTAAAATCAGCCGGAAAAAAAGAAATGCTCAGATTTATCATTTTGAAACATATTAAGAAATTAAGTTAATTTGCATAGTGAAATCTAATAAATACTCAATCTTCTCATTATACATCACCAGTTTTAATGTTGACTTTATTTGAACCTAGTGAAATGTATAATCATCTGTTATCATACACATAATCGGTCCACCATGAATAATAATAATACACTCTTGACACAACTTATAGCCTTTTCAAGTTCATTGTCCTTCATGTCTCATTGAAAAGTATCTCTATTGCATGTTTTTGGGATTGAATGAATGTGTGGTTAAACTATGATTTGAAAAGCCAGATGTGTATGTATTGTATTGTCTAGAGAAAAAGAAAAGTACACGCTGTGTTAATTTCGTGTCGACAATGGATACCTAACTGAAATTTTGGGGCACATAGTTTTTGGACTTTCCTTAAGCTTCGCATCATAGTTCATTAATCCTCGTACACATGTCCAAGTAAGGTGTAAGGACAAAATCTAATAAATACATTAATCCATACATAAAGATAATTAGGTAAGTAAAGACGCCAGACGTGCAACTATTGTATTTGTGTAAGCTTACTTTAGGTAGGGATAGCACATTGGTCCGTATTGTTTGGAAATTGCTGTTCAGAGCGTGAGAAATTTTTAGAATCGTATCAAAATATAGAGATCACAAAAATTTTATTTTCGCAATCTTACCAATCGGGATGGTTCGATTTAGAGATTTTTATTTTTCTATTTGGTTCGATTGGGAGTTTTGAAGATTTTTTTAATTATTTTATCTAGTTACATTTGAATTTTGATATGGCTTTATTTTTTAAAAAATAATCAACGTTCATCAACAATTTACCATATTAGAAACTTTATTTTGGAATCAATTTTAGAAAAAATGTAGAGTTATATAAATGCAAATTTCCAAATCATATAATATAGTTTGGTTTCTTAAAATATCTCCTTTAACTTTTTATATCATTTTAATTATAAGATAGAATAAGATTAAGAAAAGTATCAACAGATATAATATAAATATGTATATTTTAAGAAATATATTTGTAGATCAAATATTAGTAAGTATATAATTTAAGTGAATTTTAATTGCTAGTAATATATGATATTAATTATTTTTAGAAATACTCAAATTATATAGGGTTAAAGCTGACATAAAATCTATGAACAAGATTCGTCTAATGTTATAGTTCAATTCTTAATTTCGGTTTGGTAAGGTATGAGATGGTATGGTTCAGTTCGATCCTCGGTACGTATGCCAATTTCTTTAGGTTCGCTTCGGTTAGAATAAAGTCAAACGATCAACGATATTTTTTCGGTTAAGAAAGTCAAACGGTCAACGATATTTTTTCGGTTCAGAGTGATCTAGTTCTGATTTTTAGAACGATTCAAAATTCTCCGAGTTTTATGCTCAGTTCCACTTTTAGGCACATCCAACGATTACATAGTTATATTTTTTAATAGATATAAATATTTTCAAGGTGAAATGTCATATTCCAAACTACAATATTAGCAAAAGTATAATTTTTTATAGCACACACATGTATTTTTGTTAAAAAAAAAAAAATTAATGAATCGACTCGTCAAACGATTAAGCAGATTTACACAAAGAATTTGTGTTGTATCTTTTATCTCTAAATGCACACATAAATTTACCAACTTAAAATATAGATGGTTGATGTATTCAAAATAATAGCTTATGCAATTACCTTTGAGAATATTGAGTGGTGGTGTTTGACAAACTAGAAACATCCATTGAAGTATTTGTGATGTTGTACATAGATGAAATAAAATAACTATGTTCTTAGAGAGAAATAATAACTTGATATATATTAAATAATGATTAAAAATGAGAATAAACTACTAATGTATATCTTGAAAGCTTTTAATTACAAGGAAAAGGAAAAGTCTACTCAAATTTACCCCCAACATTGTAAACAATAACACATGCCCATCAATGAATCATAGCACAATTTTAGTTTGTTACTTCTTACATTTCTTCTAATTGATTAAAACGTGTATTTTCAACATGAAATTATATACTATGTTACAAATTATTGAATAGTCAATTTGATGTAACTCAACCTTATCCTCAAACCTGTAATTTCTGTTGAGGAGCTTTTCCTTTTCCAACATAAGTGGTGATTTAGATAGCAAAAGGGTATCACTTATTTCTATCATAAATACTATTGTGTGACCACTAAGTCCCAAAAGTTTATTGTGGATAAATATATGCTTTGATATATATATATATATATATATATATATATATATATATTCCAGTGATGGATATATTTTTGGTGAAATTAGGCTCCACATGCAATAGTTGGGGATTATCAACTTTATTTTACGTTTTTTGTATGATCTTCTTCACTTGCATGATTCAAATAAGAGAATCACAATCAAAAGAACCTAAAATTACGTGGACATCACTGCTTTTTGGCAGGTCATGTTAAAAAAGCACTAAAAAACAGTTTAGTCAAATGTCAATTTCACACATTGGTGGGTTTGTATGTGATTGGTTCCATAGAATTCTAAAAGTTAACTTATATATGATTGGATAGTTATATTGTGTTCTTGGATAGTTTGTTTTAAGTTATAAAATGGAGATAAATCAAAAGACTGAAATTACTTATATCATATAATATTATTTATTATTATATAAGTACAAAAATATATATAAATAGAAATAATATGGTGACATGTATATGCATAGTTGTAGAATACGTTTATTTAATATTAAGCAAAATAGATTAATTTTTTTACTTAATTAGATGTCTAATACATCAAGTGTCGTATCAGGCGTGCTTCGCAGTTTTAAACTTTAAATGTAATTTTAGAATTTAGATAAATAATTATTTATTTTTATTAGATTGACAACATACCAATTAGATTTAAAATAAATATCATTTTTAAATGAATACATACCAATTTCTATTACTTTGTAATATAATTTATAGTTTTATTTGATATAATTTAATTTAGTTTGATAAATAAATTTAAATTTTATTTATAAGGATATGTATTACTGTTTTGTATTTTATATATATAATATAGATAAATCGAAAATCGTTAAAAGATAGTTAATTTGATATATCATATATGAAAATAAAATATAAACAAAAAACTTATAAAATCTTAATATAAGAAGAAGAACCATTTATAAAAATTAATGAGTGAATTATATAATAAGAAAATGAAATGTGATGTATGGTAATGTAGGAAAATGAAACATAAAATAGTTTATGGTAACTAATTGTAGAAGTAAAGAAAGAAAAAATCAATCATGGATTTAGTGTGATAAAAAATATTAATTTATATCCAAGCCTAACTCCAAAGTATGATTTTTTACCAAATAGGATTCCGAAGCATGAGAGTTTGCCACGTAAGCTCAGCGCATTCTAAAATTATATATATAGGGGATATGTTTCAACAGGGACGGATCTTCATATGGCCTGGGCTGGGCTGAAGCCCAGGCCTGTTACTTTTTATTTAACAACTATTAGTTTAAAAAAAAATATTATTGTTTTTCTAGCCCAGCCCAATAAATCAGCTCACTAATCTATCAAAATAATGTATTTATCTATTTAAGTCTAATGACTACAAACATCACTCTGATGAAATATTATATATGGTTGACTCACATTCTTCCCATTAGTCACTAACCCACAAGACACTACTATACACCAAACTCCAATCAAATAAATCAGTTGCGGCCATGCCCCTTCTTTAAACCAGAACAATGTATTTAGAAGAACAAAAAATAAATAAATAAACTATTTAACAAGAAAGAGATTACTTTCAAGAAAATAATATAATTTATTCTTTAATAGTAAGTTATTTCAACCCTACATTAGATATTTGCTTCATTTGTCAAATTGTCTTTATTTATATTTTCATTTTAGTTGAACTATTTAGGTTTTTAATAGTGATTGCTAGGATCATTTAGTTGCAATCTTATTTTGTTGATATTGTGTGTGTGTGTGTGTCTTTTCGTTATCTATTATACTCTAGTGTGGTTGTTGTATATCATATTTGAATTTACTTTTATGATATTTTATTTTGCTAGCTAATAACTATGTCATATGAAAAATCAATTTATTGGTATTATTGAATATATAGAAATTTACATGGAGCGCCAACCTTCAGTCAAGAAATAAAAACCCCCATTGATATCATCGTTGTTTACAAAACGAGATCATCAAACTAGTGAAAACACACAAATACGGTACAAAATTAGCATAATGAATTTTATTCTATAAAAGATTGTCGAGCAAAACTTCAGTGAATATGTGAAGAAAAAATATTATGTGACTTTTATGAAAATGAGTTTGTAAAATTATAGCTCAGTCTACTCTTAATTTCTGGATCCGTGCCTGTGTTTCAATTTATTGTATATGATTTTATAATTTGGTATTATTTGATAGCAAAACGATTGATAACACACCGATTCCGTTTGTTCATTATCTTAAGAAACATCAGCAGTTATGTAAACCGAATTGTTATACATTTATGTACTCTTAATGAATATTCATCTTTTTATATTTAAATGTTATATACTTAAGAAAAATATAAAATAAAAAGTTTGCAAGATCATTTTGTACTATAATTTAGTATGCATTTTTTATTTTGAAAGTATTGAATATTGATGAATCAATTAGTCTAGCAGTTTATTAGTTTAACAATAAAAATTACGATATCTCGTTGGATTTGATTATCATTACTGTCTAATCTTCAACCATTTATAAGTACAATAATGGCCTATGAAGATATGACTTATAAGATGGGTCCATGATCGGTTGTAGTTCAATCATACTTCAGTGTGTATCAATATTGGATGCCACATGTTAAGGGGAAATTAATGCTTTCATTTAGGATGCTTAGTATGTCTATTCATGATAATTAGTGATTTGATGTGCCTAACTTCTAACTAAAATTTCCCAAAACATAGATTTAATCTAGTATAAGATAAAAAAAAAAAAATACTCATTTTTTATCAACTTTGTTCTTCCATGATTAATAAGTTAATTAGTTCCATAAATGGCACATGTTTTCTCCAATGTTTGTTCCTTATTGTTTAAATCATTTTCCCATTTGGACATATCATACAAAACAAAAGTTTGAAAGAGATTACAAGTTGAGTTATCATTTATAAACGCACTCGAGCTAGAGCTAATTATATTTAAGTTTGATCTCTTATCGATAAGTCAACAACTCGATAAATGGGTTGAAGTTAAGTTTGTTGACAAGTCTTAACGAGTCAAACTCAAGTTTTAATAAATTGATATACGATGAAAATAAAAAATATTACGTAATACTCCTATTTAACAAGCCTATCAAGCCATGGAGCTTTGCTCGTTAACTATACAAGTTCAACGAAACTCTAAGTCTTGCAAATAGCTTGTCTACGTACAAGTCTATATTTAAAAGAACCAAAATAAAAGTGAAAATTTGACTGATAAAAGCCAAAATAAAGAGGGGAACAAAGGGGTAGAGAAAGGAAATGATATCACGTTGAGGGGGTCACGTGGGATGTAATCTCAAAAAAAAAAAATAATATAAAAAGTTTCCGAATAATATTAATAAAAATAATAATAATAATAATAATATAATAAATGAGGAATGTACTTGGGTCGTGTGTTGTAATAATTGGTGGGTGATAAAAGGGCACCCAACTTTAGCAGACACATTCATGAATATGACATCCTTGTCCCCAGCACCACATTTTATTTAATTAAAATCATGCAAAATCCTCTTTTTCTCCCCCCACGCTGATTTTTGTTGCTTTAGTCAAAATCCAATAAGTAACTTCGATTTATGCACTAAATTAAATTGCTTAATATTAAACTTGAAAGGCATGCCTTGAACCACGAGGCACAAGTAATTAAATAAAATAAACTTCCACCAAAAGACTCGTTTATTTTTTATTTTTATTTTGAAAAAAAGATAACTCGCGGTATTAAGTTAAAGCATATTAAAGGTGGGTTCTAATCATCCCACCATGTACATAATAATTATTTAAATGAATAAAATTTGTATGAGACGGTTTAACTATCAGGTCAATATATTCTATATTTTTTTATAAAATTGCATAACTATAATATGAAATGTCATAGTTTAATTGGAATGTGAAATTTCAAATTGAATATATATATATATATGTATACGCACATATAGTACGATAATCTGACTGTTAGGTATGTTCAATAACAATTTTACTAATACATAGTTCAACACAAAATATAATTCAATTATGGTCAAGTGAACTGGCTCATCACATTTTTAACAAAAGTATATATTTATGATACGAAATGTCATATTTTAATTTATTTATGCGCGTGTTTCAATTTGAAATTGTATATATATATCTATATATATATTAAAAATATAAGTGTAATTAATACATAATTAATTAACACAAAATAAGTTTTATTCTTTTGGATGGTATTTAAACTAAATCTCATAAAAGTTGGAATCAATGTTAAAAAAAGCATATATTTCGTATCTAAGATGAGGATATATCGAGTATCAACTGTTGACTTTATAATATAATTGTGTGCTCTAATTGCCTCAAGGATTTTTATTTTTTTTATTATTATTATTTTTTTTTTGTACAGCGTGCTTCCGTACAACAATAGTATAGTGTTTGTATTAGTCTTGAAGCGCCGTACAGAAATTGAATATATACCAACAACTACTTTGTCACAAAGTTATCTGTAACGCACTCATTTGGACTGGTGAAATAGTGGGTATATTAGATTTTGTGAAAAAGAAAAAAATGAGGATTTATACTATTAATTATAATATTTATGTTTACGTTGTTTTTTAACTGGCACCTCATTCATAGAATTATGCATACTTATGAAGAAAAAAAAAAAGTTATGTACAAAAGAATTACCCATAAGGCCATAACAGAATTTCAAAAAGTAGATATTGTTGCTTAAAAACTTTGTGTCATATTTGCTAATATACAACAATCGATTTCTCAATCCATAGTCATCAAGATATTTCAATTACTGCTCCATGATATATAACATCAAGATCAAATCAACTAAACTCTCTCAAAAGTCTCAAAATCCAAACATTATATGTCACATTCAATAAAAAGAACCCCCCAAAGAACAACAAAAGTATTCCCCCCAATATTTACACCCTAAATTTTGCTAGGACCACACAAACAACACAAATACACTAAACTAAAATAAAAGAAAAGAAAAAACATTAACAAATACAATAACCGGTTCACGATCCAGCCGGCTGGTTGTGTGAATTAATTCGGGCCAAGTTCCTAGACAAAGGGAAGAATTTGGGCCGGGTCGCAGAAAACGGGTCGTCCGTTTTTGTGGCGGAAGACGAGACGCGTTTGCAAGAGGGGCACATAGTGAGTGTGGTGGCTGGCGATTGCATGTAAAATGGGGCCGATATCTTGAGGGCCCTCAATTCTTGGAGCTCCTTTTGGAGACGTCGATTTTCGTCACCAAGCGCCTCACAACATCTCTTTAGGTACTCGCAATCGACCTCCGTTTGCTTAAGCTTTGTCCTGCGAGTGTGTGTATAAACACCATTTAGTGCGTGTACGAGTGAGTAATAATCGGGGGAAAGATGAGTCAAACCATGCAATTCGGTGCAGTTCGGTTCGATTTTTCTTTTTAAGTTAGTTTTCCGCTTAAATTCGATTTTTTATGTGTTGCGTAGTGTTTTGATTTAATTAGCTTTACTTGTGCGGTGCGACGAAAAAAATATTTGAAAAATCGAGCTGAATCGTGCAGTTTTGTGTGGTTCAGTTATTTTTATTTGTATAAAATTTTTGGGTTCATTTTTTAATTTGATTTTTATTTTATGTAATATGAGACAAGTAAATGAACTAATGAAGTAATGAATAGTACATCTTATTTGGAAATTAGGTAAATATTTGATTTATATATAGTATAGATATAATTACAAATTTGATTAAATTAATTATAGTACTGCACACTAGCTACCTGGCTCGCCTGTTTTGAAACCAGACTTCAACTTGTCTTGGTCTGAGGTTAAGCTGTTTCGCAAGGGCCATCTTTTGTTTCTACACAACCAAACACCAATAAAATAAATAAAAAAATTCCATTAAATAAATTCAAAGAAAATAAATATGACGAAAAAAACAAAAAAAACAAAAAAATCAAAAACCCACAGGATTAAGAGTGTTGTGGTCTTTGAACGTCTGCTCAAGAAAAGCCGATTGCTGTTTGGACAGTCTCAGCTTCTTCCTCCCGTGGGGCCCACCTTCCTCGTCCTCGTCAGCCGCCTCGAAACTTCTCTTATTATTCCCACCGACCAACCGGAAAGCGGACCCCTCGCTGTTTGCCGACGATGCCTCTTCCGCCGCCCGGACCGCCACCGGCGGCCGCCCGGCGTTCTCCGAGGAACCGTTTTCCGAGCTCCCTATTAGATTAATATAAATAATATTATTGTGAGTTTGTTTCGCAAGCGAATATGTCATGGTTTGAATTATCAGCTGTCTGACTGATTGAATTAGCCGATTTTGACTATTTCGAATTGAATGAGCTAATTATACCAAGTATTTGATAAATAAATATTCGTTTTATTTGCAAAAACAACTAATTTTAAAATCTTATAGTCCAAAGTTCATATATCGAACGTTTTCAAAATCAATTTTTTGGATCCATTCAAACTGCTGCCTATCCACCAATGAAATCAGAAAATTTTTTGACGGTCAAAACTCCATTTTATCTCAAAATACTAATTTAACCCCAAACCACTGTTTACCAAACAAATTTACAAACTCAAAAGTTAAGGAGAGAAAAAATAATACCGTTGTCGGAAGACCACGTCAGCGAAATCCGGCGAGGGACAGGAGCTCCGGGGAGGAGACTAAGCTGCAAAGGGACTTTTTGGTAGTAACTATTGTTTGCAACAATGATGTCCGTATTTTCTTTTTCCGAAAAATTCGGGCCGTCGGCGTTTTCATCATCTTCGCTATCTTGGGATTTTTTCTGGATTTTTTCAGTCTCTTCATTCTCAGCTGAGTAGGTTTTGAGGCCCAAAGCCATGCAGAAATTGGGACCTCCATTTTCGAGACTGGTTTTTTTCTGCAGATGATTTTCAGAGCTTTTTGGTAGTAATTTTTGGAGTTTTGATGGGTCTCCTAAGCTTAAAGCCAGCTCCATTTTTTGTCCCCTTTTTTTTTGAAGGATTTCTTGGAGAAAAAAATTAGGGGAAAAGGAAAGGGGAGGAAAGGCTTTTTAGGTTTGAAGGGATTGGGAGAGTCTTTTATAGAGATTTTGTCTAAATTTTGGGGAATTGTTTGGTTGAAATTTAAAAGTAATGAATTTTGTGGTGTATTATTTAAGTGATTAATGAATGAGGAAAACAGACTAGCTAGCTATAGTAGGTGTAGACAAAACATGTACCGAGTTTTTTTTTAGCCAAATTGTCCTTTTCTCTCACTTTATGTATAAAAGTTTTGGGATGGCATATAAATATATCGTTCAAAACGAGTTTTTTTTTAATCATCATTAATTTTGAAAAAATTAATATAATTACTTATAAATGGAAGATTTATATTAAAATAATATTTAAAATAAAATAATTAAAGTTGAATTGATATTTAGTTAAAATTATGTGCGTGAATAAATAATGAATTAAAATTAATGTAATATGTAAAAATTATTGGTTGATATTGTTTAATTGTATTGATAATATTGATGATAATGAGATTAAATAAAAGTGCAATTAGATTTTGAGTATGCGTTGAAAAAAATTTATTAACAAACACTCCCTTATTCTACGAACTAGGGGTGTTCACGGTCCAGTTATAACCGAAAAAAGACCGTCAATCCGGACCGCGGATCGGTTAAATGATCAGTTAAAAAAGCCTTAAAAAATTCGGTAGTTAATTTTTTTAAAAATCTGGAATAATCGGTCCGGTTAACGGATTACTTGCGGCAAACCGCCGGTTTAACCGGAGCGGACCGAAAAATGTTAAAAAACTATATAATATATATATACATTCAGTCATTCACTATGCCTGACAAATATAATACATTCACTTTCACATTTTGGACTTTTGTTGACTTTGCTCTTATTATTTCACTGAAAAATGAAATATATAAACTGACTTTGCTTTTTATGCCCGACAAATACAATCATTCACTTTACTCTTATTATTTCAGGTGTATAAACTGACTGAAAAATGAATGCTTGCTTGGGTTCAGTTTGCATAATTTAATCTTCATTATTTTTGTATTTTTATGTTTATGGGACGAAATGTATATTTTTATGCTTATGGGACGAATTGTGTATTTTTTATTTCATTATTGTTGTTTTGCTTAATTTCATCTGAGTTAGTCTAACTGTTAGGTCAAACGATCCATCATATTTTTTTAAGTAAAATACATATTCTTATTATATAATATTTTATTTTTATTTATTTTATATTAGATTATTGTTATTTCAATTTAAAATTATGTATATTTGTTAAAAAAGATATGTTGTCTAACCACTAAAAAATATAATGTAATACATGCTTAAGCTTAACAACACTCTACCTCTTTATAAAGGAAAAATTGATCAGACGAGTGAGACACTGTATGAGTGTGGGTTAATCAAACCTTGAAAGTAAAATAAAATTTAATACTGTATATATGTGTTCAACTTTTAATTTTATATTGAAAAAAAAAAAGGGTATATACGGATTCAATTTTTCTTGTTTATAGGAATTTGATGATTTTTTGTTGCTCTTTTGCACCTTTTTAAGGATTTTTTTTTTATCTTGGTGTTTCATTTGGGACCGCAGGGAATTTCAGTTGGTATGATTAGAATAATGGGTTTGACCGACATACTCATGTTGACAAAGCGCACACGTGAAGGACCTATTTTCCTTTGGTTCACATCCACGGACGTGAATTACATAATTTCTTTTTCTTCTTTATTTTTTTTTTATTTTTACCTTCAAAAACCTAACATGCCGGAACGAGCTCGAACTCGAATCATTAACGAATCGAGTCAAGCTCGACTCGCTAATTTTAAACGAACCTGAAATCAAGTTTGAGCTCGGCTTTTATCCCTACTAACGAGCTGAATTCGAGCCTTAATGATCCGAATTACAGAAAATTATACAAAAATTCTCTTTTCGAGTCTTAACAAACTGAACTTAACCGAACAAGCTTTAAATGAGCTCGAGCTCGACTCCTTTGAGCCGAAATCTTTAACGAGGCGAGTACGAGTCGAGCCGAGTCAGACTCGTTTAATTTAACAGCACTAGACACTGAATATGTTTGGTAAGCACAATTAGTTAGTTTATAGCTTGGTTATTTAGTTTATAAGTTTTTTTTCATTCAAATAAATTTAGTAGGTGCGATTTTTAATACACACTCGAGCTTATCTCGTAAACTTTTGTATGTTGTTTTTTAAAAAAGTCAGTTGATTTGTTTTATTTCAATTGACTTATCATGTGATTTATTCAAACACTTTTATTATATCAGCTATTATTCAAACACTTTTATTATATCAGCTAATTTTTCAGTAGAGGTTATTAAGTATAAACTTGAAATTAATTTATGCCCAATAATTAACTTAACAGCTATCACGTTTTTTTCCAACTAAATTTACCAAATATGCATACTATAAAATATCGCTCTTATTTATATTGGTTTTTGGAAGCATGACATCTAGTTTGAATCTTCATGAAAATTGCATGTCTATAAGACATAGTTAGACTAACCTAACCTACGTACGGTACATATTTTTTTTAGTATAAAAATATTCAAAAACAACTGAGAAAAAAAAAATTACATAATAAATGTATACTACAAATACAGAAGTCAATACATGTAAAATTAGAAAAGGCATGAGTGAATAAAATACAATTTTTTATAGAAAAATCTGGATAAATTATTGAGTTTTATTTGAAAAATATGTCCTTAAAATCGAGATAATTTAAAATGTGATTAATATTAAATTTTATGATAGCTTTAAAATGAGATTAATATTAAATTTTATGATAGCTAGCGTGAGTTTAAAGAAAAAATTCTTGAAGTGTTCAATTGCACCTTCTTTCTAGTGATAGATATTACATTTAATTGCATATTATGGTACCCTTATAACTTCAGAAGGAAGATAAAATAATCAGTTATTTTCACACCCAAAATAATGTGTGAGCATTTTTAATTAATAAATCATGAAAGTGCAAATAATCATATATGATTGTGCGGTCAAATCGGATCTTGACTATAACTCTTTCTTGTTTCATATTATTATTGTCTGCTAAGCCATAAAACCTAATTCTCTCCTTTTATTTATTTATTTATTTAGGAGTGGATTTCAAATTAATCATTTTGATGATTACATGATTTTTCAGAAAAAGTGTTGCTGAATAATTACAATTAATTTATTGTACATGTATTATAAGTGTGTAATCATTGTTTGTGCTCTATTTGTATATATGCTCTTAGAACAATCAATAGACAAATGGGGACCTCTTTTCATCAGTTGGGGTGCCCTAATGATAATGGAGTTAGATACAGGTAGATTGGGATGTTGGGTATTCTTTATTCTTTTGTTTTTTTTCGGAGATAATATAAAAATTAAAAAAAAAAAGAAGTTGTTTTCATAGAAGAGGAATCTTTTTAGTTAAAAACAAGGTTCTTCTCATCAAGATTGTCATTCTATTTTATTTTATTTTTGGGACATTAAAATATTTTGACTGTTGAAGTTTTTCTGGAATAGTTTTGACTGTTGAAGTTGAAATAAAAGGAAAACAAAGAAAATAAAATGTTGAAAAAACTGATACTTCTTGTATTGATTTATGCAATATGTATGTTTAACGAGATATTGCGGTGGCGATGATTGATATTATATTGATTAAAAATACAACACAATTAAAAAGTTATACGACTATAGAGATAAAGCACAATGTGTACGAACGAAATAAAAAAAAAGGTTAAGTTTTGGACTTATAAATCACATTTATAAATAATATATATATATATATATATATCACAAAATTGCGATAATTAAATACGAAAACAACAATATAACATGGTTTGCAATCTCTACTAGATGCTGCTGCCCTATCAAATAATCATATTATCTGCACCTATTAAAATCGAAGTGATTGTAAACTCGTTCCTTATATAATAATATCGATAGATTAGGATTGTGTAATTGGCTCGTATTTTTTTTAATGATACTATAATAAACTATAGTACACATGCTTAACTAACTCTATATTTTATACCACTTTCATTTTCTTCCCTATTAGATGGTATGAAAATGTTTTTTTTTCCTATATATTTTAAGTTAAACACACACACACACACACACACACACACCTATTTTCCTAAGTGTAATAAAAAATTAGCAACAAACATGTTAGTATATAATTTCAAATTAATCAAATGGAGCAAAACAGTACTATACTTGAGAATATTCATATATCCTATGATATGAATGAATGATCTTCATGATATGATTATTGTTACCTATCCAAAAATTTTTTTTGACTGAATTAGGAGACAACCTTGGAGTTTGGAGTAGGTGTGAGTTGGGCAGTTAACCAATAAAAGCGGGTTTAAAAAAAACCCAATAAAAGCGGGTTTTCGTGAATGACAATTTTTTTTTTTTTAAAAAAAAGAAGAAAACAAGGTAGGCGTGAGATTTGACTCATAACGATTTTTGCTGTGAGATTTATTGTTTTGTTTAATTTGTGAGCAGGCACAGGTCAAATCCAATCTGATTTTTTACATCTTATTTTGATATGTTCAAGGAATGTCATTTATTGTTACTTTATTACCTAGCTGATCAGTTACATCTGTAATTAAAGGTCACAATTATAACATAGTTTATGAGTATGTGGTGAGACATGACAGTACGATCTAAGTATTTATTGCATAACATGAAAAAACATACTAACATTTTATTGGTTATTATACATAAAAAAGTTGTTTACTAATTTGTCATTTTTTAAGTATAATTTAAGTTCAGTCTTTTATTTCTTTTAAAATACAAAAGTTAACCTATTAAACTTTAAGGAATTCATTTGAGCGGTTAAATTAAACAAAATCGTTCTGAGCTCTACTTGACCTGACTCGTAAATACTCGAGATAGATACAACTCAAATTGTTTATCAAACGAGTTCGAAGTCGTTTAAATCTCGTTAAAAGTCAAGTCCGGCTTGATAATATTGATAAACTGCCCAAATTTCAGCTCGTTCAGTTATCGAGATGAGCTCGACTCGAGTATCACGAGTTCGAGCTCGACTTAACTC